CCTGCTGGATATTTCCATTTAGTATTTCTTTTCCTTTTATTTCAAATGCAATACTGTTGCCTTCAAACAAATTCCCCTTTCCGTTGTCCCTATTTCTGTTATCTGAAACAGCTCTGAGTCTCAGAGACTAGAATTCCTTTTAATCTTCTCAAATACACTTGGTACCTAAGTTCTTTCATTCTTTCCCTCATACTGTTACCTCTTTCTTCTTTTTTATACCCTCCCCCACACACATACACCCATTGCCTAATTCCCAGTCTTATAACCTTGCATTTAGACTACTACCACAGCTTCCTAACTGGTTTCCCTGCTTTCTTTTTTCTCTGCAGCGATTCTGTCCGCAAATTGCCGCCAGATTAGTATTCCTAAACTACCACTCTGTCATTCAGAACTCACTAATACCTCCTTTCATAAATTACCAGCTCTTTATCCTGGTATTTAAAGTCCTTGATGGAATTCCCTGGCGGTCCAGTGGTTAGCACTCAGTGCTTTCACTGCCGTGGGCCTGGGTTTGATCCCTGGTCGCAGAACTAAGATCCCAGAAGCCACGTGCCACAGCCAAAAAAAGTCCTTGACAATTTGATCCAACCTACCTTTCCAGCATTAACTTCCATTATTTACTTTTCTGAATGCTTCACCCTATCTCCACAGATTTCCCCACCATCCTCTGAATATGTCTTACACTTACCTTTCCTGTACTTTTACTCGTACTTTTCCCTTTAAATATAATAGTTATTTCCAGTTCTTTGTGCATCTAAATGTTACCCATCTTTTAGAATCCAGCTTAAATTCCTTCTTCTCTTTGCTCTCCTAAAGCACACCATCTCATAATGATCTCTTCCTTTGCGCTCCTGTTTAAACTCTCTCTTTACCATTTGCTAGACAATAAACAATGTTTGGAATTATTAGATTTTTGGTATCATTCTATTACTTCTTTCATTCTTTTAAAATATTTTTTTCTTGACTTCCAGCTAAATTAACATTCTTGAAGGGAGACCAGGTTTTGTGCTTTTGAATATTCCTTATAGGACCGTATTATTATGCTTGCACATAATAGAAATTCATAAATATTTATTGATTTATTTCAGTTTGGAAATATGAAGACAATGTGTGCTACTTATTCAGGCAGTATAATGGGTTTCTTCCTTTCTTTTAGACAGTTTAATTTTTGTAGTCTTATACTATTACCAGAAGAAATTTTACAAGTATCCTGGTTACATTGACCTTAAAGTATTAATACATAGAATCAGTAGAAATCTATGTTGCAGTGTACTTGACTTATTTGAGAAAGAAACAAAAAACTTTTTACCATTTCTTTCTCCATTTTATGTTCCTTTTATTTGAAACATTTTTAGTTATTTGAGGCAACTGATTATAGATTCTGTTTTTCAGACCTGCTTTCAGATATCATCATGTATTCACCCTTAGTTCTTCAAAGTTGTTCTTCTAAAGTCACAGAAACTTTTGACTATTTGTCCTTTCTGCCCCTTCAAACCGTACAAGGGCTGCTGAAGGCAGTGCAGGTAAGTCTTGACTCCTAAAGAGCTCACCACAACTGAGGTTGAACTGCTGAGTGGAGGTCTGATGTATTTCTTACACATATGTACGTGTAAGAAATACTGTTTCCCTTGATTCTAGAACATAAAACTTTCTATTAAAATAGAGTCTATTTTCCAGGTTTACCCCCTCTTCATAGTGCTATTCTCTCTCCTTTGATTCAGTTTCAAGTTAGTGAAGTGATTGAAAGGCTCTTAGGAAATTATTAATTGAGGACAGTAGGTTTAAAGGTATTCACAACTAGTTTCAATTTAGCATTTCAAAATATAAAATTGTCCTTATTACTAAGTGTAATAAACAATGCAACTTCTTTATAAAACAGAGCCAAACTTTCTTATAAAAGCCAAATGGTAACAGTATTGAGTAGAAATGTGCTAAGGCTAATAAACAAATTGCTGTTTTTACCTACTGATTCTTCCTCTTTCAGCCCCTTCTAAAAGTCAGCTTGTCAATAAGAGACTCCTTGATACTTGTCCTTCGGAAAGCTATGTTTGCCAGGTATGTAGCCTACCATGAGATCTGAGGAAGTGATGCTTTCTAATGTTACTTAGAGTCCTCTCTGCAGTCATCTCTTCACAGCAGTCATGCAAATTCCTAACCCAAGCTAGAGATGATAATACCATCTCCTAAAGATACTATGAGATGGGTAATATGTGGGAAGCATTTGTTACTTTAAGGATAAGATACCAAATTAATATCACATTGGCCATACTATAATACACTCATGGATATTCAGAGGAGCAACTAGTAAGTAGCCATATGCTATTTATCCCTATTCTAGAATTGACAGTTTGTTGTTACTCCTTACCCAAAAGCATGTCTGATAGGCCAAGGTTGTATATTGTAGCATCTATAACATGAATTAATCATTGAGCCTCAGTGAGATGACTGTATCATTTTTCTGGATGGAGGGTTTATAAGGCACCAAGCACTGCACTCCTCTATGAAGAAAGGAAGTGCTCCTTTAAACTCAGAGAAAATCAACAATTTCCTTTGCTATATTTAGTACTTACATTTGAGATATCAACCCATTGTACAGGCTTTAAGCACTCTTGTTCTCATTTCCCTCATAGACTTGTCAGAAGGATAGAGGAAAGTATAGATAGTGCCATGAGGTTAAGTAGATAATGCAAAATTCAGCTGAATTCCTATACTACTAATTGCTGTGAACAGCCAATGCCTTTTTTTTTTTCTTTTTCTTTTTTTTGCGGTACGCGGGCCTCTCACTGTTGTGGTCTCTCCCGTCGCGGAGCACAGGCTCCGGACGCGCAGGCTCAGCGGCCATGGCTCACGGGCCCAGCCGCTTCATGGCATGTGGGATCTTCCCGGACCAGAGCACGAACCCATGTCCCCTGCATCGGCAGGCAGACTCTCAACCACTGCGCCACCAGAGAAGCCCCAATGCCTTATTTTGAGTATATAAATTCAATTTATTTTGCTCTGTGCTCCATTGTTTATACATATTCCTTTCCTGTACAGAACTAACTGAATTTTTCTGACCCAGAAGCCTATTCCTGTGAAATCAGTACTGTTTGGTAACTTCTTCTCTGTCTATTCCTGAGCTAGCCAGCTTGATGCCCGAAAATCTGCAGTTGCTGGGTTTTTGCTGCTCCTGAAGAACTTTAAAGTTTTAGGCAGCTTGTCGTCTTCTCAGTGCAGTCAGTCTATTGGTATTAGCCAGGTAAGGATTTTTTTTCACACCAGCTTATAGTGTGTGCACTGATGCAGGAACTGATGATGTGCAGACTCTTTTCTTTTACTCCTGTTCTGGTTGTACAAATGATCCTGAAACAGTCTGATGATGATGATGATATCAGCCAACACTTTTTAATGGAAAATTTGCTGTGTGTTAACTGTGCTTTTCAATATGGTAGTCCCTAGCCTCAAGGTGGCTGTTGAACTGAATATTGATTGAAATGTGGCTAGTTCAAATTGAGTGTTGCTCTGCGTGTAAAACACACACTGGATTTGAAGACTCTGTGTGAGATAAAAGAATGTGAACTATCTCAATTTTTAATTCTGATTATGTGTTGAGATAATATTTTGGCTGTGTTGGGTTAAATAAAATATTAAAATTAATTTCACCAGTTTTTTAACTTTTTTGTTTTGGCTACTAGAAAATTTAATATTATATATGTGCCTTGCATTTGTGATTTGTATTGTGTTTCTTCTGGACAGCACTGTGCTAGACTCTATGCTAAGTGCTTTACATTTATTTTCTCATTTAATCTTCACAGCAATTCTCTGAGGCTGAATACTGTTATTGTCCCCAATTTTAATAGTTTATTTACTCTGTACATCTATTAAAACCTGTAACCTGAGAAAACAAAACATTTTACAGTAACGTGATAATCTAGGTTTTGCAGCAATAAAATTGTCTTTGTCAATTTAAATTCAGTAATATACGATTTGTAAATAAGAGACATATCTGTTTACTAGTTTTATTAAGAATCCTTTTTTGCTCTGGTATAACTATACAGAACTTTTGTTTATAACATATGACATAGATTAAATATTAGGAACACTGGGTATCATTTATGTATTGTTATTATCCCCAATTTAAGGGTAAGAAAACTGAGACTGAGAGAGGTTAAATAACTTGCCCAAGGTGATATGGCCAGTAATGGGTAGAACTGGGATTTGACCTCAGTCAGTATTAACTTCCTCACTAAGTTGCCTGAAGTAAGGATTAGGAGTTCTTGGTCTATAATGGCTGAATTTATTATGTGACTCAAACAAGCAGTGTTATTCTTTGTCAAGTCCATATCTAAACAAAATAACTACCTACCTCTAAACCTCTCAGGAGTTCACAGAACCAAAAAGAGCTCAGTTCTTCTAGCTGTTGAAGACATTTAAGGAAGTCTTTTAGACCTTTTACGTAAAATCAAGTTTACTATGACTACTGAATTCTAGAGGCATGAAATAATCTGTGTGCCTTGCTAAGCAGGTGACATTGCCAAGGAAAATCTTAAGGAATAAGGAAGAGTTAATTTTTTTAAGTGCTTGAAAATTCTCTTAGTCCAAACTAGAATAAGAGTGATAACTTATCATGGCCTAATAATGATTATAATGCCTGCCTCAGTCCTGGGTTTTGGCATATGGGGAAAGCTAAATGTAAGGTTCTTTGACCAAGTACATCAGCTCATTTTACCCCCTTAATAGAAACTACTTACTGTGGTAAGATAGACATGAACTGGCCTCTCTTCTTTTCAGGTCCATGTGGATGTCCATAGCCGTTACAATTCTGTCGCCAATGAAACCTTTTGCCTTGAGATAATGGATAGTTTGAGGAGATGCTTAGGCCAACAGGCTGATGTTCGACTTATGCTTTATGAGGTAAATCAGCAGAGTGAAGAGATGTATGTAGTACTTCCCTCCCCAACTCTACTAATAATCCTTTTAATTTTAATAATTTTTTTTCTGATTATCAAAATACAGTAGATATGCTCTTATTTAATGCAGTTAGGACCAGTAGTTCGTGATGATTAGCCAAAAAGTCGTTTAAGGTGAGGAATCATAAAGAATAGTTAAAACACCTTAAATATTTTATTTTAGTTTGAAATATTTAAATGTACTGTTAATTTACCAGTCTTTTGTTTTAAGGCCAAGTTCTTTTGGTTTTGAGTATGAGTCTGCCATTTGGAACTTCCTGTCTCTCAAACAAACGATAACTTTAACGTATTGCCTATAATTTCAAGTTTTTGCTTACGTAAAGTAAGATAAAAACCTTAAGACACTTCAGATACAGTCTTAATGTAGAAATCTAGATATGTTCAGTTTTTCCCCTAAGTTTTTAGAATTGTCTTACTCCTAATTCATCAGAAATTGGTTATAGAGATTTATTAAGTCTTTCCAAAACATTCAACTTAGTTTTTATGAAAACAACTTCTCGTTTTTTTATTGTTGTTGTTTTTGGCCATGCCACATGGCTTGTGGGATCTTAGTTCCCTGAACAGGGATTGAACCCGTGCCCTCGGCAGTGAAAGTGCGGAGTCCCAACCACTGGACGGCCAGGGAATTCCCAGAAACAACTTCTTTTTCATTTTGCACTTGGTTTCCAACGGTTTACAGAATGTCTGATTAGATCACATAATTAACAATGATGGTACAATTAGCAAAAACTGAGACACCAAATATTACTACTGACTTGTGATTAGGATATAATTCAGCCAGTGGGAACAAAAGTTTGCAGTCATGAGGGATTGCACTACGATTGCTAGCATTTAGTATGCTGTGTACTTCAGCATCCATATTTCATAGGATGGAGAGCATTAGATAATCTAGCAAGTAGATTAAGTGGAAGTCATTTCAGAGAACAGCTATTATAATACTTTTATTTGCCCTTTTTTTAAAAAAATAAATTATTTATTTATTTGTGGCTGCATCAGGTCTTCGTTGCACGTGGGCTTTCTTTAGTTTTGTCAAGGAGGGGCTAAGACCTTGTGGTTTGCGGGCTTCTCATTGTGATGGCTTCTCTTGTGGAGCACAGGCCCTAGGCACGTGGGCTTCAGTAGTTGCAGCACATGGGCTCAGTAGTTGTGGCTCACAGGCTCTAGAACACAGGCTCAGTAGTTGAGGCTCTCAGGCTTAGTTGCTCTGCAGCATGTGGGATCTTCTGAGACCAGGGCTTGAACCCGAGTCCCCTGCGTTGGCAGGTGGATTCTTAACCACTGAGCCACCAGGGAAGCCCCTATTTGCCCTTTTTTTTTTGCGGTACGCGGGCTTGTCACTGTTGTGGCCTCTCCCGTTGCAGAGCACAGGCTCCGGACGCGCCGGCTCAGCGGCCATGGCTCCCAGGTCCAGCTGCTCCGCGGCATGTGGGATCTTCCCAGACCGGGGCACGAACCCGTGTCCCCTGCTTCGGCAGGCGGACTCTCAACCACTGCGCCACCAGGGAAGCCCTGCCCTTTTTTTTTTTTTTTTTGCGGTACGCGGGCCTCTCACTGTTGTGGCCTCTCCCGTTGCGGAGCGGACGCGCAGGCTCAGCTGCCATGGCTCACGGGCCCATCCGCTCCGCGGCATGTGGGATCTTCCCGGACCGGGGCACGAACCCGTGTCCCCTGCATCGGCAGGCGGACTCTCAACCACTGCGCCACCAGGGAAGCCCAGCCCTGCCCTTTTTAAAATAACATTTATTGAGCTACAGTGGTTGCAAGGCACTGTACCAGACATCAGATTTTTCAGGTTTATTGTAGAAAATATAGAAAATACAGGAATTTTTTTTTTTTTTGGCGGTATGCGGGCCTCTCACTGTTGTGGCCTCACCTGTTGCGGAGCACAGGCTCCGGACGCGCAGGCTCAGCGGCCATGGCTCACGGGCCCAGCCGCTCCGCGGCATGTGAGATCTTCCCGGACCGGGGCACGAACCCGTGTCCCCTGCATCGGCAGTCGGACTCTCAACCACTGCGCCACCAGGGAAGCCCCAGGAAAATATTTTTTAAAATATTATTACTAATCCCAGCACTCATATGTGTATATTTATACAAAATTGGAATCATAAGATTTATCTAGCTTTTATCTTTTAATATTATGTTGTATTTTCCCATTTCATGAAATGTTCTTTGACACATAATTTTTAATGCTAAAAACTGTTCTTTATGTATACAGTGATTTATTTAACTGTTTTGGGTCATTTCTGTTGTTCCCAGTTTTTCACCATGAATGTTGTTGTACCTAAATATTTGACCACATTGCTGGGTTAAAGATTAGAACATTTTAAAGTCTACTGGCATACTCTGGCAAACATTGAATTTTTTTTAATAATTAAAAATATCTTTGTTCAACATTCATTTGTGGTAAAACTCTCAGACGCTCTTAGCAAACTAAGATTAGAGGGGAATTCCTCAACCTGATTAAGGGTGTCTATGGATCCTACATCTAATATAAATAGTGAGACACTTAATGTGTTTCCCCTTTGATCAGGAACAAGGATATTTGTCCTCAAAACTTTTATTCTGCATTAAAGTGAAGGTCTGATCCAATGCAGCAAGGCAAGAAAAAGAAATAAAGGCACACAGATTTGAAAGGATGAAGTAAAGCTGTGTTGTTCACTTAGTGTACATAGACAATACCAGAAAGTCTGTGAAAAATGAGTTTAGTAAGGTTGTATACAAGATCAATAACCATGCAAAAATCAATTATAGTTCTATTTTCTAGCAGTGAACAGTTTGAAATTGAAAGAAAGCAATATTTATAGTTGATAAAAAAATACTTAAGGATAGATTCAACAAAATATGCACAAGATATGTACACTTGAAGACCTCAAAATAGCTGAGAGACATTAAAGAAGAATTAAATGGAGAGATATGCAGTGTTCACAGATGAGAATGCTTAATATTGTTAATGTTTTTAAGTCTCAGAAATATCTGTAGATTCAGTGAAATCCGAGGCTTTTTTTGTAGAAATTAAGAAGTTGATTGTAAAATTTTTGTGGGGCTTCCCTGGTGGCACAGTGGTTAAGAATCCTCCTGCCAATGCAGGGGACACAGGTTCAAGCCCTGGTCCGGGAAGATCCCACATGCTGCGGAGCAACTGAGTCCATGCACCACAACTACTGAGCCTGCTCTAGAGCCCGTGCTCCACAAGAGAAGCCACTGCAATGAGAAGACTGTGCACCGCAACAAAGAGTAGCCCCCACTCTCTGCAACTAGAGAAAGCCCGCGCACAGCAACCAAGACCCAATGCAGCCAAAAATAAATAAATACATTTTAAAATGTATATAATAATAATAAAATTAATGTGGAGTGTAAACCACCTAAAATGAACAAAACAATTGAACAAGTATAAAGTTGGTCAGTTGAGTTTTTTCTTTTTTTTTTTAATTAATGTATTTATATTTTGGCTGTGTTGGGTCTTTGTTGCTACGCACAGGCTTTCTCTCGTTACAGTGAGTGGGGGCTACTCCTCGTTGCGGTGTGGGGGCTTCTCACTGCAGTGGCTTCTCTTGTTGCGGAGCACGGGCTCTAGGTGGGCTTCAGTAGTTGTGGCACACGGGCTTAGTTGCTCCGTGACATGTGGGATCTTCCCGGACCAGGGCTCGAACCTGTGTCCCCTGCATTGGCAGGCGGATTCTTAACCACTGCACCACCAGCGAAGTCCCTGGTCAGTGGAGTTTTCACAGAAATCCCAAGTAATTCAGTGGAGAGAGGATGGTCTTTTCAACAAACGGTGCTGAAACAATTGTTTGTTGTATTGGGGGTCCCCAAAACCACCTCTGTGTTTAAAGATTTCTTTTTTTTTTAAATCTTTATTGGAGTATAATTGCTTTACAATGGTGTGTTAGTTTCTGCTTTAGAACATAATGAATCAGTTATATATATACATATGTTCCCATATCTCTTCCCTCTTGCATCTCCCTCCCTCCCACCCTCCCTGTCCCACTCCTCCAGGTGGTCACAAAGCACCAAGCTGATCTCCCTGTGCTATGTGGCTGCTTCCCACTAGCTATCTACCTTACGCTTGGTAGTGTATATATGTCCATGCCTCTCTCTCACTTTGTCACAGCTTACCCTTCCCCCTCCCCATATCCTCAAGTCCATTCTCTGGTAGGTCTGTGTCTTTATTCCTGTTTTACCCCTAGGTTCTTCATGACATTTTTTTTTTCTTAAATTCCATATATATGTGTTACCATACGATATTTGTCTCTCTCTTTCTGACTTCACTCTGTATGACAGACTCTAGGTCTAAAGATTTCTTTAGAAGGACTGATAAAACAGCGTAAATTTGTTCTCATGGCTGAGATTTAGAGTTAAAGGATACAAAGCAAAAAACAGCAGAGGCGAGAGGCAAATAGGGTGAAGTCCACAGGAGACCAGGTGCAAGCTTCTAAGTCCTCTCCAAGTGAGATTGCACAGGATGCACTTAATTCTTCCAGCAAATGAGTTGTGATAACATATGCAAAGCATATTCAAATAAGTTGTGATAACATATGCAAAGCGTATTCTACTAGGGAAGCTTATTAGAGAGCACCCAAGGCTTTTTATTGGCAGCTGGTCACATAGGCACCCTTACTTAGTACGTACCAAAATTCCTAACTCCCAGAAGGAAATCAGGTTTTCAGCATAAACTATATTGTTTGTACAAACAGTTTAGGCACAGTAAGCTTCTCATTGTTCAGGGAGTTTTATATCAGTATAGGAAAAAACTTTACCAGCCAAATTCCCAGCCACCAGCCAAGGGCCAACCTTGGAAGAAGACCTTTCTAAGGATAGCAGTCTCAGACCACTATGTTAATAACTCTTTTCTGCACAGTCATCCATATTCAAAAAAAAAAAATCTTAATCTTATCTACCTCCAAATTTTAAAAATTACCTTGTAGCTGCCACCCTTCCCGTCCTGCTCTCCTCCCGCGTGGGGCTGAATGGGCTTCCGTGGCTCCCTCTGCCGTGAGACGTTGGCGATTCCTCAGCACCCCGAGCACTGCTGACTCGTCTTCCTTCGGCCAGAAACCCTCCTCCTTGGGCCCGCGTGGGAGGAGCGGAGCGGCGAGTCCGCTGGCCCCAGTCTTTATCCCTGGCAGCGGCAGCTTCTTCCATAGGACAGTATGTTCAAGAGAATGGCCGAATTTGAGCCTGACTCCGGCAGGAGAGTGAAGGGGGTTACTGTCGTTAAACCAATAGTTTATGGTAATGTTGCTCCATATTTTGGAAAGAAAAGAGAAGAAGATGGGCACACCCATCAGTGGACAGTATATGTAAAACTATACAGAAATGAGGATATGTCAGCATATGTGAAGAAAATCCAATTTAAATTATATGAAAGCTATGGCAATCCCTTAAGAGTTATTACTAAGCCTCCATATGAAATTACTGAAACAGGTTGGGGTGAATTCGAAATAATCATCAAAATCTTTTTCATTGATCCTAATGGAAGACCTGTAATCCTGTATCATTTATTAAAGCTATTTCAGGGGCTTCCCTGGTGGTGCAGTGGTTAAGAATCTGCCTGCCAATGCAGAGGACATGGGTTCGAGCCCTGGTCTGGGGAGATCCCACATGCTGCGGAGCAGCTAAGCCCGTGAGCTACAACTACTGAGCCTGCACGTGTAGAGCCTGTGCTCCACAACAAGAGAAGCCACGACAATGAGAAGCCCGCGCACTGCGATGAGGAGTAGCCCCTGCTCGCCGCAACTAGAGAAAGCCTGCGCACAGAAATGAAGACCCAATACAGCCAAAAATAAATAAATTAATTTTTTAAAAAAAGAAGCTATTTCAGTCAGACACCAATGCAGTGCTGGGGAAAAAAGACAGTGGTTTCAGAGTTCTATGATGAAATGATATTTCAGGACCCAACAGCAGTGATGCTATAATTATTAACAACATCTCATCAGCTTACCTTAGGAGCCTATAAGCATGAAACAGAATTTCCAGAACTTGAAGTGAAAACCAGAGAAAAATTAGAAGCTGTGGGGAAAAAAAACAAACTTTGAAATTGCAGAGCTTAAAGAGAGATTAAAAGCAAGTTGTGAAACTATAAATTGTTTAAAAAATGAAATCAGGAAACTCAAAGAAGATGATCAGACAAAAGAAATACAAACGGTTTTGAAGAGAACTCGTAAGTGAAACTAAAAATAAGGTGGAGTTTAAAGGAGAGATGGACTACAAATACTGCGATGTTTCTTAGAGGAACTGCACATATAGTTGTCAGCCATAGATTTCTCAGCAATGGGGTCAAAGTATTTGTACTTTACAAGCAATCTTTAATGTGAAATATATCTGTATAATGCTGTATAGGCATTTTATCAACCCATTTCAGGGTAGTTCTGTGATACTAAGCACAATTTTAAAACATTTTTACTGCATTGTATGTATAACTTATCCTTTTGACAGACATCAAAATTTCATTATAAAGTATAACTTGTACAAATTTTATACTTCCCTAGTAGTTAAATTCATGGTAAAATTAATGTGTTTATTTAATTTCTTAAGTTCTTACCTGCCCCAGTCCCAACTCTTTTGTATCTGATGTGCCCAGTAAGCACTCAATAAACGTAGTTTACAGATGCTGGGGAAAAAAAACAAATTACCTTGTAATGGATCATAGACCTAAATCTGTTAGGATATTGTTGTTCATTTATTCATCAAAGAGCTTATTTATCCTCTGTTTGATTCCTTTTAGGGGTTCTATGACGTCCTTCGAAGAAATTCTCAGCTGGCTAATTCAGTCATGCAAACTCTGTTCTCACAGGTAAAATGTATTTTTATGGATATAAGGGAACAGATACTAAGGCAATTAAGAGGCGACTGACATTCTTCATAATTTTCAAAATATGAAATAGTTCCCAACTAGTGCAGTGGTGCGTTGTGACCATGCCTGAAGTATGTGATGCTATTTCATGTTATTTTATTTTAATCACCACTTATTGCCATTATCTGACAATTATCCCTCTCAGTTAACAGTCTGCATCCTAAGTTAGAAGGACGTTCTGAAGAACCATTTGTACAGAGGCCATCAGCAGCTTTATTTGTTCTGTTTATTTCTGAAAGAAGAAAAAGAGATTTGGAGAAAATATAGCACAATATTGACATTTGTAAAATCTAAGTGACATATTAATGAGTGTCTATTAGGTTATTTTCTGTATTTCTCAGTCTTAAAAAAAGCTTTAAATTATGAAATATTTCAGAGGATTATCAAGATGAGAAGAATTCAACTGGAGAATATTTGTTGTAAATAAGACCTTTTACTCAATGTTTATTCATTAAGATTTTATTTGAATGTTTTTTAATAACAGTTTTGTGGTGATATAATTCACATACCATGCAATTCACCCATTTAAAAAAATATAACTCATATATTTGCAGAGTTGTGCAACCATCACCATAATCAATTTGAGAACATTTTATCACCTCAGGAAAAACCCTGTGCCATTTAGCTACCACCCTCTAATTCTCCCATCCTTCCCCCAACCTCCTACCCCTAAGCAATCACTTATCTTCTTTCTGTCTCTATAGATTTGCCTGTTCTGGACATTTCATGTAAATGGAATCATACAGTGTGTGGTCTTTTGTGACTGACTTCTTTCACTTAACCTGATGTTTTCAGGGGTCATCCATGTTGTAGCATGTATCAGTGCCTCATTCCTTTTTATGGCTAAATAATATTTCATTTCATGAATCTTTTTATATATTGAGAGAGTTCAAGATACTGTTATGTACTAATAGTAATAACAACAGTACCTAATGTTTAGCACTTATAGAAGGCCAAGCAATTTATGAAGCATTATATGGTGGATGATCTAATTTAGTCCTCACAAAACCCTGTAAAATAAAAACTGTTATCTCCATTTTACAGATTTTTTTTTTTTTTTTTTCCGGTACGTGGGCCTCTCACTGCTGTGGCCTCTCCCGTTGCGGAGCACAGGCTCCGGACGCACAGGCTCAGCGGCCATGGCTCACGGGCCCAGCCGCTCCACAGCACGTGGGAACTTCCCGGACCGGGGCACGAACCTGTGTCCCCTGCATCGGCAGGCGGACTCTCAACCACTGTGCCACCAGGGAAGCCCCAACAGATTTATATTTTAAGGGTCTGAGAGGTTAAGTAAATTTAATTTGCCCAAGGTCACACAGTTAATTAGTGGCAGAGCTGGGATTTGAACTCAGATCGTCTAGCTCAAGAGTCCAAGCATGTTATTCTCCTATTTGGACTTGACTAAGCTTTTTGGATCTCTAAGTTGATGCTTGTCACCAAATTTGAGAAATGTCCACTGATTATTTCATCAAATATTTTTTTCTATCCCCTTTTTCTCTCCTTTCCTTCTGCGACTTCATTGGTATGTATGTTGGAATGCCTGATATTATTCCACAGATCTCTGAGACTTGGCTCATTTTTCCTCAATATTTTTACACTATTTTCTTCAGATTTGATATTTTCTCATAATCTGTCTTCAAGTTTACTTTCTCCTCTGCCATTTCAGATCTGTTGTTTTACTCTTGAATGTATGTTGAATTTTATCAAATACATTTTTGTATCTATTGAGATGACTGTTATGATTTTACTCTTTTAACCTTTTACTGTGATGAATTATATTATTTAATCTTTTAAAGCAACATGGTGGGGGGACTTCCCTGGTAGTCCAGTGGACATGGATCCTATCCCTGGTCATCAGGGAGCTAAGATCCTGCCTGCCGTGTGGCATGGCCAAAAAAAAAAACTCAAATTGATGATGATGTATTACCTTTTTTATACACTACTGGGTTTGGTATTCATTTAAGACTTTTACATATATGTTTATAAGACGGAATGGCCTGTAATTTTCATCTCTCATACTGAACTTCCTTGCTTTAGTATGAGCTTAATAAAATGATTAGGGATGTTCCCTCTTTTTCTAGTTTATGTAAAATTGGAAATTTTCTCTATTTCCTTTTTTTCATTTTTTCCCTTAACTTTTTTCAAAGTTATATGTTATCTTTCTTTAAGCTTTCAGCTAGATTTTTGGTTTTTGATTTTTTGGACTACACAGGTAGTGTGAATTCTACCCCATCTATGTTTGGAGACTAGCTTGTGGTTAGAAAGTCCCAGGAGAGATATTTTTCCCCCTTCACCTAAAGTCAGGGGCCAGTTAGGCAGATACATATCCCTCTCCCATCCTCCTTCATATGGTGGATTTATTTTTTAGGTTTATCCACTAAGAATATCTCCTGAGAATTCGAGCTTTATGTGAAGGTTTCTGATCCAGCCTCCACCCCATGAGGGCCCTAGGCTTTGTCTTTAATTTCATGATTCCTTTTTACTTTCCTTTTCCTTTCCTCTTAGCTATCTATTTAATAAATATGTCTATATAAATTTTTAATGCAATATTATTTACTGTTATTTACCATGAGGATTTCTCTAAACCCTAGTCCACCATTTTGCTATAAATGGAACTGCTCTTTCTCTTCCTCTCCCTCTCCGTCCTTTTTATGCCATTGCTTTGTGATAATTCTGCTAAAGAAGCTCCATTTGAAAGTAAGGTCTCAGATACGGAGATATTATTGGAAGGTCCTATGCTATTCATTGAAAGCTTTTCAGTGGGCCTTGGACCTGATCCTATATAAAATTTGTATCTTGTTATATTGTATCTATCAAACTGTAATGATCAGTCCATCTACATTTTCACATTTAACATCACAAATTATGACTGAAGGCATAGACCAGTGCTTCCCAACTTAGGTTAGTATGTGGACCTGTAAAATTCTACAGACTCTAAAAGTTAAAAAAGAGAAAAATGATAACTATTTTTTTAATGGAAGTATAGTTGATTTACAATGTTGTATTAGTTTCTGGTATACAGCAAAGTGATTCAGTTATATATATATTGTTTTTCGTATTCTCTTCCATTATGATTTATTACAGGATGTTCAGTATAGTTCCCTGTGCTATACAGTAGAATCTTGTTGTTTATTTATCTTATATACAGTAGTTGGTATTTGCTAATCCCAAAGTCGTAATTTATACCACCTCTTTTCCCTTTGGTAGCCATAAGTTTGTTTTCTGTGTCTGTGAGTCTATTTGTTTTGTAAGTAAGTTCATTTGTATCATATTTTAGATTCCACATGTAAGTGATATCATATAGTATTTGTCTTTCTCAGTCTGACTTACTTAGTGTAATCTCTGGGTCCATCTTTGTTGCTGTAAATGGCATTATTTCATTCTTTTTTATGGCTGAGTTAACTAACAGTTTTTTGAACTCTGTTATGGGCCAAGTAGTATTTGAAGCTCCTTACATGTGTTAGCATGTTTAATCCTTACACTCATTTATACATTTATATTAATAAATATCCTCATTTCACAGGTGAGGAACCAAGGCATGGATACCTTTATTGAATTAATAAGTGGTGGTACTGGGATTTTAGACTCAGCCAGTCTGACTCTAGAGCCTATATTCTTAACCTTCAAGCTATACTGAAAATCCTGATTGCCTATACAAATTTAGGAATTGGTGTGAGAGAGTATGATGTTTTGTAGGAGAGGTTATGAAGTGGAAATAGGAAAGAAGATCAGAGTTAGGGCTTCCCTGGTGGCACAGTGGTTGAGAGTCCGCCTGCCAATGCAGGGGACACGGGTTCGTGCCCCGGCCCGGGAAGATCGCACATGCCGCGGAATGGCTGGGTCCGTGAGCATGGCCCCTGAGCCTGCACATCTGGAGCCTGTGCTCCGCAACAGGAGAGGCCACAACAGTGAGAGGCCCGTGTACCACAAAAAACAAAAAAAAGATCTCAGTTAGTACAGTGCCTAAAGCAAGGGTAAAGGATATGGTTGAGTCAAAGCAACACAGATTTTGCTGCAGTGTTCTTTGGACAGTTGGGAAATAATGTCTTAGAAAGCATTAAATGTGCCATTAGCTTGACCCGCTAAAAAAGTGAAAAACATTCATGAGCCATGGTATCTTTTTCCTTACCATACACAGTTAAAACAGTTCTATGAGCCGGAACCTGATATGCTGCCACCTCTGAAATTAGAAGCTTGTATTCTGACCCAAGGAGATCAGATCTCTCTACAGGAACCACTGGTGAGACTTTTTTCCCTCCTCCCAGAACCATTATTTTTACTCTTAAGTAAAACTGCCAGCCCTGTTGATATGGTTGATCTTCAGAAACAGATACCTTCCCCTGTGAAGCACTCTTCCTGGTACTGCCAATGAATTTTTACTCTTAACTCTTACTGCTTATCTTTTCTGACCCATCTTCACCTTGGTTTTCTTGGTAAGATATCTGCATGTCAGCACTTTACTAAATCAAGGCATCCATTGTTTCTCCCAAGAAGCATTTTATCTCCCATTTATGTCTCTTTGATTACATATACTAAATAAATATACTTTAGAATGGAGAGAAGGAGGTCACCCAGAAGCAGATGAACCCAGGGGACCTGCTTCATTAGTCTGGGGTATATGATTTAGGCTGAGCTAGAATTGGCATTCTGTTGAACCTTCAGAGGAACTAGGACAGGTTGGTTTTCTATTCTAGTTGTGTAGCCTCAGAAAGAGAAGAAAAGATAAAAACTGAAACTCTCTCATCCCAAGTGACTTATAACTGAGATGTCCTCAGCCTGGATCAGAGATGCTAAAGATTGGTCACCCAAAGATTCCCTCAGCATAAACCCCTATCTTTAGAATAGCCTCTGGGACTCAAAGGAGTTAGAGAGGATTTAATTTCACAACCTGGCTCCATGGTGTTTGTACCAAATCAGAGGCAGCACATCTGATGTTGCATTCTTAGGTGTCAGCTACTTATGAAGCCAGTGCCTTTGGGAAAGGCCAGAAAACAATGCCTCTGTTAGTTCAGTTATTTTTTTTCCGGTTTTGTTAATACAGATTGACTTAACTTGTGATGCTAATGAATAACTTACTTTAGCCTTATAGATAAGGATTATTTGTTGATTATCAACAGCTTCATAGGTTATCCTTTAACAAGAATATTCACTTATTATTTTCTTCTGCAGGATTGTCTGCTATGTTGTATTCAACATTGTTTGGCCTGGTATAAGAGTAGAGTGATGCCCCTACAGCAGAAAGAAGAGGAGGAGGAAGAAGAGGGATTCTACCAAGACTTAGATGATATGTTGGAGTCTATTACTAGTAGAATGATTAAGAGTGAACTAGAGGACTTTGAACTGGTAATTGCTAAGTCTTAGCTGTGTTGAATAATGGAAGTTTTTAGTAGCTTATTAATTTTATCTTCTGTCTTTTAGGACAAATCAGCAGATTTTTCTCAGAGCACTGGTATTGGTACCAAAAACAATATCTGTGCTTTTCTTGTTATGGGAGTTTGTGAAGTTCTAATAGAATATAATTTCTCCATAAGTAATTTCAGGTAAGGTATTGCTATGACTCTACTTGCAGTTCATTTTATGTGTGTGTGTGCGTTTTTTGGTTTTTTTTCCCAACACTAACAATATGCTAGGTATGAACAGACCACAGACCATACACTATCTATTAATGGACCTGTAGCCTAAGACCAATCTATGTTCTTTCTACCAGGGAACACCAAAGCATATGCCAAAGAGGCTGGTGAATTTTGTCCCTCCAGCAGGCTTTAATGTTTTCAAAATTCCCCAGACCCTGAACATAAGAACTCCTGATTTTAACAGAGAAATTTTGATTGGTGGTAGTATTGAACTTTCATTCTCTTCAGTGACTGGTATAAGTAAGGGAAGAAAAGAAATAACCCAGATTGGTATGACCTGGGAGTGCTATGTTAATGAAGATCCATTCATTTGTAATGTTGGGTCTAAAATATGACATCTAAAGAAGCATTGTGATTTCTTTATTACTGTTTGTGAAAATAAGCCACAATGTTCTGATGCTTGTCCTTGGTGGTCTCTTTTTCTTTTTTACACAGTAAGAGTAAATTTGAGGAGGTTCTGAGCTTATTTATGTGTTACAAGGAACTCTCTGACATCCTTAATGAAAAAGCTGGTAAAGGCAAAACTAAAATGGCCAACAAAACAAATGATAGTTTTTTGTCCATGAAATTTGTGTCTGATCTTCTCACCGCTCTTTTCAGGTAAGGTTCTAACAGAGTGCTTAAAGACAGCAGTGTGGTGAAGATAAAAATACCTACCCAGGCTCACTGATGTTACCTAGCTTGGATTCACACAGTTCTTAGCACATATACAGTAAGAAGTAAGGTAGGAGGTTTGTAATTTTCTTGAAATGAAGGCAGAACAAACCTACCTAAGCATTAAAGAGATACTTTGAATTATTAAAGGAAAAATCAGAAACAATGGACTAGTGAATGAAAAAATAGGATGAATTCCAACAATGTGTTCTAAGAAAATCAGCCTAAGTAGCTCAAACACGCTAACAGATAAAAAAAGAAGAAAGAAAAACCTGAATTAAAAAAACAAAGGGGCTTCCCTGGTGGCGCAGTGGTTGAGAGTCCGCCTGCCGATGCAGGGGACGCGGGTTCGTGCCCCGGTCCGGGAGGATCCCACATGCCACAGAGCAGCTGGGCTCGTGAGCCATGGCCGCTGAGCCTGTGCGTCCGGAGCCTGTGCTCCACAACGGGAGACTCTGGCCACAACAGTGAGAGGCCCGCATACCGCAAAAAAAAAAAAAAAAAAAAAAAAAACAAAGGAACAACAACAAAAAAAAACCACTAAAGAAAACTAAGACTGACATTTAAATTTCATCAGAGTTAAAGGAGTGGGGGAGGGGGGGAAAGTGAGGTAACACTGAGAATGATATCTGTAGGGCAGCCATGGCAGTGACTCTGGCATGGGCTGCCTAGAGTCTGTCATTTAGAGCTTGCTCTGTACTATTACCCTGAACAGTCCCTAGAAAACCTAATTCCAGGTCCCAATAGCTGTAGAGGAATCTTTCTCTTTTTCTGTCTCTAGGGACAGTACCCAAAGTCATGAAGAGAGCCTGTCTGTTCTAAGGTCCAGCAATGAGTTTATGCGCTATGCAGTGAGTGTGGCTCTGCAGAAGGTACAGCAGCTAAATGAAATGGGGCATGTGAGTGGCCCTGATGGCAAAAACCCAGAGAAGGTCTTTCAGAACCTCTGTGACATAACTCGGTAAGCCCCACACACCCTTAGAAACCGTTTTCACTTGCTGTGGAGTCTCCAAGAGAAGAAATTGGGGGTGGGGATGAAGGTGGGTTTGAGGTTGGGCATTGCCCTAAAGGTGAAAGTGCAGTCACTATATTGGGTTCTTTTTCCTAGTCATGTTTTGGTGTGAATTGTTAGTCACATTTAAAACGTTATTCTATTACCAGGAATAAAGAGGGATATTACATAATGACTAAATAATTTATCAAGTAGACATAACAATTTTAAATATATATGTACCTAACAACAGAGCTTCGAAATACTTGAAGCAAAAATGCATAGAACTGAAGGAGAAATACACAAATAATAATCTACCTCTCTTGGTAATCAGTAGAAATTGATAGAAAATCAGGGAGGACATGGAAGACTTGAACAACACTATCATCCAGCTTGATTTAATTGACATTTATAGAACGTTAAATAAGTTTCATAATATACATTCCTTTCATGTGCATATGGTACATTCATCAAGATGGACCATATTTTGGGCCATAAAACTAACAAATTTTTTAAATAGAAATCAGCATGTTCTCTGACCACAACAGAATTAAACAAGAAAGCAGTAACAAAAATATGCGGATAATCCCCGTATATTTGGAAATTAAATGCATTTCTAAATAACCCATAGTCAAAGAGAAGGTCAGAAATTTTAAAATATCTTACTAGAATGAAGATGAACACTTGAGCATGCCAAATTTTGTATGGTCCAGCTAAAGCAGTGTCTAGGTAGAAATTTAGAACAATCAGTGTTTATATTAGAAAGAAATCTGAAATCTCTAATGTAGGCTTTTACATTAAGAAAATAGAAGAGCAGGTTAAAATGAAAGTGAGCAAAAGGAAGGAAATAATAAAGACGAAAGTGGAATCATTGAAAGTAAAAACAGGGGACTTCCCTAGTTGTCCAGTGGTTAAGAATCCGCCTTCCAGTGCAGGGGAACACAGGTTTGATCCCTGGTTGGGGAACTAAGATCCCACATGCCTCAGGACAACCAAGGCTGTGCCGTAACTACTGAGCCCACGCACCACAACTAGAGAGAAGCCCATGTGCCTCAATGAAAGATTCCACATGCTGCAACAAAGATCCCGCGTGCCGTAACTAAGACCCAACGCAGCCAAATAAATAAATAAATATTTTTTTAAAAAGAAAGCAAAAACAATAGAGAAAATGAGACCAAAATCTAGTTGAGATCAATAAATTCAATAAACTTTAGCCAGACTGAGCAGGAAAAGAGAGAAGACACAAATTACACATATCAGGTATATGAGGAAGAGGAGACATCACTACTGATTCTACACATATTAAAAATTCATAACAGAATGTTAACTTTATGCCAATAAACTTCATAACTTAAATGCACAAATTTTTTTAAGCCTCACTCAAGAAAAAATAGGTAACCTGAGTAATCCTATCTCTATTAAAGAAATTGCATTTGTGATTCAAAATTTTCCCTCAGCAAAACTGCAGACCTGCATGTCACCACCGTTGAATTCTACCAATTCTACCAAATAACACCAATTTATGCAGACTCTTCCAGAAAATGGAGGCGGGAACATGTCCCAACTCATAAGGCCAGTGTAAATTACCCTGATACCAAATCCAGCCAAAGACATTAATAAGAAAAATACAGACCAAATTCTCTCATGAATATAGATGTAAAAAAATTAGCAAATTCATCCCAACAGTTTATAAGAAGAATAACTTATATTTAAGTGGAATTTTTCCCAGGATGCAACGTTGGCTCAAAATTTGTAAATCAATCAGTGTAATTCACCATGTCAAAGAAAAAACCATATGTTCATCCCAGTAGATGCAGGCAATCAGAATTCAACATGAACCATGATAAAATCTCTTGGCAAGGGCTCCCCTGGTGGCACAGTGGTTGAGAATCTGCCTGCTAATGCAGGGGACACGGGTTCGAGCCCTGGTCTGGGAGGATCCCACATGCTGCAGAGCAACTAGGCCCGTGAGCCACAACTACTGAGCCTGCACGTCTGGAGCCTGTGCTCTGCAACAAGAGAGGCCGCGATAGTGAGAGGCCCGCGCACCGCGATGAAGAGTGGCCCCTGCTTGCCACAACTAGAGATAGCCCTCGCACAGAAACGAAGACCCAACACAGCAAAAAATAATAATAATAATAATTAATTAATCAACTCCTACCCCCAACATCTAAAAGAGAAAAAAAAAATCTCTTGGCAAACCAGGAATGAAAGAATTTTCTCAGTCTAATGAAGGTTATCCGCAAAAACCCTATAGTTAACAGCATACTTAATGAAGAAACTCAGTGCTCTCCCCCATGTGCTTTCACCACTACTATTCAAAATCTTACTGGAGGTGGTCCTAGTCAGTGCAGTAAGACAGGAAAAAGAAAAGACATCAGATTGAAAAAGAAAGAATAACACTGTCTTTATAGACATAATTGTCTACATAAAAATTTCCAAAGAATTTTTTTAAAGCCACTAGATCTATTAATAAGGTTGCAGGATTCAAGGTCAGTTTTTTAGAAAACTGTATTTTTATGTACATTCTAGTGGTGAACAACTAGAAATTTAAATTTTAAAAACTACCATTTACTATAGTTTGACAAAATGAAAATTACTTAGTGATAAATCTCAAAAACATGCAAGATTGATGTGATGAAAACTGTAAAATATTGATGAAGGAAATCAAAGAAGTCCCAAGTAAATGGAAAGACATACAGTGTCCAGGGATTGGAAGATTCAGTGTGTCAGGGTGTGAATTCTTCCCAAATTAATCCATAGATTCAACACAATACCAATCAAAATCCTATCAAGCTTTATTGTAGGAATTGACAAGATTATTCTAAAACTTATATGGAAAAGTAAAGGACCTAAAGTAACTAAAACAAATGTGAAATAAAACAACAAAGTTAGAGGACTCCCACTATGTGATTTCAAGTCTTACTATAAAGTTGTTGTGTTTAAGGTAGTGTGATATTGCTAGAATCAATGGAACAGAAATAGATGGTTCAGAATTGATCCATACAAGTATGGTCTTGACTTTTGACAATGGAGAAAGAAAAGTCTTTTTAACAAGTAGTTTTAGAACAGTTGGACATGAATATGTGAAAAAATGAATCTTTTATCCATTTCTCATGTTATATACAAAAAGTTGACTTGAAATGGATCAGAGACATAAATGTAAAACCAAATATTGTAAAACATCTAGAAGAAGACAGAAAAGGCTTTGCAACCTTGTTTTAGGTAAAAATTTCTTAGATGAAATACCAGAAGCACAGTCGATATTTTTAAAAAATTTAACTCTGTTCTTTGAAAAACACTCTTAAGGAAATGAAAAGACAAGCTGCAGATGAGAAAATATTTGCAAAACACATGTCTGATGATGGACTGGTAACCAGAGTATATAAAGAACTCTTAAACTTGTTAAGAAAACAAATTACAAAATGGGTAAAATACTTGAACAGACACTTTACCAAAGAAGATGTATAGACAGCAAATAAGAACCCAAAAGGATGGTCAACATAATTAAACACTAGGTAAATGCAAATTAAAATCACAATGAGATATCAGTAAACACCTATTAGAATGCCTAAAAGTTTAGATTGACCGTAGTAGAGTGTTGTCAAGGATGTGGAAGAATTTGAACTCTTATACACTGTTGACAGAAATGTAAATGGTGCAGCCACTTTGGAAAATAGTTTGGCGGTTTCTTAAAAAGTTAAGCACACACCTACCATATGATATTCCCACCCCACTCTTAGGTATTTACCCAAAAGAAACGAAAGTGGATGTTGATACAAAGGTTTGTATGCAGCAGCTTTATCTGTAACAGCAAAATCTGGAAACAGCGCAGAAGTCTGTCAATAGATGGATGGATAAATTAGTGAATGGACAAGCTGTGGTACATCCATACCCTGGAATACTGCTCAGCAATAAAATGGGACAAATTACCAATACATGCAGCAACATAGGTGAATCTCAAAAGCATATGCTGTTAGCAAAGCCAGATTCTAAAGGCTGCATAATGAATGATACCATTTTTATATGATAGTTTGTAAATAGTAAAGCCACTGGGACAGGAAACAGACCAGTGGTTGCTTGCAAAATCGAGGAGAAATAATTGATTACAGAGGAGCACATGGGAACTTCTGGGGTAATGGAAATATCTTGATTGTGGGGCTGAGTACACAACTGTGTAAGTTAGTCAAAATTCATAGAACTATACATCTATAGGATGGGAATTTTACTGTATGTAAATTGTACCTTAGTGAACCTGACTTTGAAGATAAAATCACTTTTCCCCAGGGTCTTGCTTTGGAGATACACTTCAATTCCTACTTCAGTGGAAGAGTCGGGAAAGAAAGAGAAAGGAAAGAGCATCTCGCTGCTGTGCTTGGAGTGTTTGCAGAAAATATTCAGTGCCGTGCAACAGTTCTACCAGCCCAAGATTCATCAGTTTCTCAGGGCTCTGGGTGGGCATTTCAATTTTGATAAATTGGCTCTATCTGAGTTTGTCTTTCTTAACCAAACCTCTTGATTCTAGTTGTTAACCTACCAGAGGACACCTGAGAAGTCCTAATGTTGGTAAGGAGTGACATCTAGTGGATTCAGAATTGACACTTACTGGATTACATTTATCCACAAACAGTGACTGGAAAATGGAATATAGTATTAAGAAATTGCAGAATGTTAGGAATATAATTAAATCTGCCTCCAGACTTTTTTGGCTTCCTAAAATTTTAGTATGAAAAGGCAAAAAAAAGCCCAAGCCCATTTCAAAGAAGATAGAGTTCTTTTCCTTTCCTAGATGCCACAGATAAGGAGGAAGAGGTGGAAGTCAGTGTCACCCAAAGAGCAGCATTCCAGATCCGGCAGTTTCAGGTGAGAAGCCTGGGAAACTGCAGTACTTTGTGAGGGTCCTTGGAAAGGGACTGTTAGCAGGGCCAGCTGGTGAGAATGGGCAGACAGTGAGCACATAGAACAGGAATTTCTTCTGGGTCATCATTCAAGCAACAAGACAAAGCCCTTAGAATGAGAGAGAATGCATTTAAAAGGATTCTAGGAAGGATGTGTATTTAAGCCACCCCAACCTGCAGGAGTCATTGCCTCTAAGAATCACTGTTTGAGCTGATACAGAGAGATAGCCAAGAGCCCATTAATGCATGCAAATGTAATTTGGCTTTGTCCGTCAGATTGCATAAAGACTGGACAGTGAAGCCTATTAGTTTTTTTTTTTTAATTTATTTATTTATGGCTGCGTTGGGTCTTCTTTGCTGCCCACGGGCTTTCTCTAGTTGCGGAGTGCGGGGGCTACTTTTCGTCATGGTGCACGGGCCTCTCATTGTGGTGGCTTCTCTTTGCTACGGAGTATGGGCTCTAGGTGCGCAGGCTTCAGTAGTTGTGGCTCACAGGCTCTAGAGCAGGCTCAGTAGTTGTGGCTCACTGGCCTAGTTGCTCCGCAGCATGTGGGATCTTCCTGGACCAGGGCTCGAACCCGTGTCCTCTGCATTGGCAGGTGGACTCCTAACCACTGCGCCACCAGGGAAGTCCCTCCTATTAGTTTCTAACCACTAGTTGTCACAATATCAGGATCTTTTATCACAGAGGATTTCTTCAATACATAATTTTAAAGTTCCTATTATATGCCAGGGACTGTTCCAGGAGCTGACGATATAGCAAGGGATAAAAGAGACAAAACCCTACCCTCACAGAGCTTACGTTGTAGTGGGAAGAGACTAACAGACAAAATACAGTGTTTCAGGTGGTGAGAGAGAAACATGGAAGGTGTATAGGGAATACCAGCATTGGGGCGTGGTCTAGCCCTGAGGTCAGTGGATGGGCTTCAGGGAGTTGCGAACCACCCAAAACTGGGTGCACGGGAATTCCCTGGCGGTGCAATGGATAGGACTCAGTGCTTTCACTGCCATGGGCCCGGGTTCAATCCCTGGTTAAAGAACTAAGATCCTGCAAGCTGTGTGGCACGGCCAAAACAAAGAGAAAAAAATCTGGGTGCACAATTCATTCCTGATGTACATTTGGCAGGGGGTTGGAGAAGGAGTCCATAGTTCTCAAGAGAACACTTAGAATCAGAAACAGGGTAGGAAACCACCTATTCAATCCAGGTTTATTTTCAGCTTTTATCCTCTTGGATTTTTGGTGTTTTTGCGGTATGCGGGCCTCTCACTGTTGTGGCCGCTCCCGTTGCAAGCGCAGGCTCCGGACGCGCAGGCTCAGCGGCCATGGCTCACGGGCCCAGCCGCTGTGCGGCATGTGGGATCTTCCCAGACCGGGGCACGAACCCGTATCCCCTGCATTGGCAGGCGGACTCTCAACCACTGCGCCACCAGGGAAGCCCCGAATTTTTGGTGTTTTTGAATCCTTTCTGTCCCAGCCTTGGGAATCTCTGGGTAGATGTCTCTTCTCCCTGCTAGTAACATGTCTGCTAATGTTTCTGTGTATACTTTTCCTTTCTCAGAGGTCCTTGTTGAATATACTTAGCAGCCAAGAAGAAGACTTTAACAGCAAAGAAGCCCTCTTACTCGTCACTGTTCTCTCCAACTTGTCCAAGCTGCTGGAGCCCTCCTCCACTCAGGTATGAGTACCACTCATTCACTCCCACTTAGCATCCCTCAGAAGGCAAGGAGTATTACGTCCTAAAGTATATATCTAAATGTCTGCTTGAAATCTGGCTTATTTAAAATATTATATTCAGTTATGCTTCTGAATTAATATAAGAGCTATAAGATGTACCTTTCACAACATAGTGTTTCTGCCGTGTTATAATTACTGCTTTTGTTTGGCCACTGTCAAGAGTAAACAGTAAGCACTACAGAAAAAAATCTTGTTTATCTGTGGAGTTCAGCCTTCTTAATGTGGGTTTTTCCCCACTCTTGGTGTTTTCTCTTCTTTTCTAAAATGAAAGTATGTTAATTATCAAGAAGGTAGCTGACATTCAGCAGTTAACTTTGTCATCAAGGTTAGCTGGTACTGAGTTTGGGAGAGATTCAACAAAAGGTGATAAGTCAGAAAGCATGATCATAGTCCTAAAACAGAATCACTTCTGCCCAGATAGGTTTTAGGTATATGTGTATGGGTCTGCACACATACACGAAGAATGTATATACCCACATGAGCATTCACACATATAGAATAAGAGAAGTGCCACATTTTGTGGGTCTGTTCCATTCAGGAGTGATTTCCCTAGAGGATGATAAAGAGAGTCCTTGAGAGCCTAGGGCTGTGTGGTTCTACCACACCTCCTTCCTGATCTATGAGGAGACAAGTTGGAGTGCTGAGATGCAAGCCTCCTTGTGAGGCCTTGCTTTAGGAAGCACTAGCCAGACCATAGCCCTGTGTGTTATGGTGTTTGAGCACTGAAAAGCAGACTTGATTTTCCCGTTGTCCTAGTTCCAGGTAGCCCAAAGAAAATCCCTTTTGTTACTTATGTCATCCTAGATCAAAACAACGCATCTGCACTTTACTTTCAGTTTCATTCTTTCATATTGCTACTTTTGCTGCAAGGAGCCCAGGATTAGGAAGGAAACACGGACAGAGAATTGGAACATGGTGACATCTGAGGGAAAATAAATAGATTTGGAAAGGCTAATATAAACAGGAAATTTTTTAAATTTAATTTTCATCACGTACCCCCTCGTAACTTCAGGTAGTCTGTTTAAATATTTTTAACTTAATTTTGAATGGGTAATAAAGTTCTATGATTTGAAAACCAGAAATTATAAAAAGATTTACAGGAAATGGTCTCCCTTCTATTCATGTCCTCCATCTGTTCAGTTCTTCTTCTCCCCTGATAAGTAAATATCTTCTTTTAGTTTCTTATGTAAAGAGTTTTTTATTCCTATACAGCAATATGAATATAGATTCTTATTCCTGACCCTACCCTCTTCACACAAAAGCTTGTTCAGCATCCTGCTTTATTTATTTGTTGCATTTAATACTGTATTCTGGAAATCAGTATTCTACAGTAATCACTGTATTCTGGAAACTCTTTTTATATCAGTTCGCAGAGAACTTCCAGTTAGCCTCTAAATTGATCTTTTTCCCCAACAGATCAAAAACTAGATTTTTTTTTTTTTTTTTTTTTTTCG